CGTGGTCTATGAAAATTCACGGTCTATGAAAATTCACATTGGAATGGGCCATGTAGTGCTATTTATCAAGGTCTTAGGGCTGAAATTAATTGAAAATCACACGACCTTTAACCTTCTGAATGCATTTCACTAGCCCTAGAAGTATCATAGATATACTGGGGCTTACAAGCATTAGCAAATAGAGCCCTCAGCAGAAAACCAAACACGGAATTCATGTGCTAAGACACAGCTACTCCAATAGATCATATGGGCAGAGCCAAGGAAGTCAACCGGACATAAGAGAGAATGGAGAAGAATGGTAGAATCAGGTTTTAACCTCCTTATAAGTACACAGGAAGAGGCAACTTTCCAATGGTTACCCCAAAGTAAGCAATAGTACTGTCTCAGGGCTTCATGCTCCAAAGAGCTGTTCATACACTCCGAGGCCTTATAACCTGATGTATGGAGCAACCCTGGTAACCGTGGCTGTGGGTCCCATTCATAACTGTGCATGCACAAATTTCATTTGGATCATCATCTGTAATCCGGGTTGGACAGTGATGAAACAATAAAAAAACTGACAGGAGTGATACAGTTGTAACCTACAGATTTTTGCAAGGTAGAAAAGTATCTAATGGACATTCTTCTTCTGAAGATTTCCCCTATGTGGGTGGAAGATAGAAAGGACTTTTTATACAGATAGGACATGTACTTCCCCCTCACCTTGCAGCTTATCACTTCACCTCAACTATGTTTATATTCTAGGGGTTTTCTTCCTCTTTTCCTTATGAACAGAATTTCTTTTGGTGATGTTTTCCATACAACCTCAGCAGAAGATATAAGTACTATATGCCATGTGCCATGTTTGGTCTGTGCATAACAAGCACCTTGTTATGTGTTTATATCCCAAGTATTATAGTAGCTAATACCAAACCAAAAAGAGATTATTTTTCCGTGTACGTTACCAGGACTCCTCTAGAGAAACAGGAACCCTGCAACTATTAGAATGAGTGGACAGTAGATGATTCCTACCAGAAAATACTCACAATAAAAGCCTATATTTCAGATAACCTTTGACAGCAACGCACCTCACATTCTGAAACCAAACTTGAATGCCAAAGTTCCACAATTTACAAGACCTTCAGTCCAGCAGACTAGGATAAAAACTGCCCTGAGAAGGATTATAATCATCAGTCAGATTTATCAGTAATTACTGTTGTGAATTGAAGCTCTTTACACATTAGAAAAGCAATGCACTACTTTTGGATTGAAGAAGTATTTTGCAATACATACACAAATTTTCTGTCCTATTAGCACTAAAAGAAGGTATGAACGGCACTGAAGTGTGACCAGACTTCTCAGATGGTTTCAATGTCTGGGAAAAAAAGCTCAGTAGGTTCATAAATCTAATATCTCCATTTTATAATAAAACCTAGAGCAGCAATAATTGCAATAAAGTTTTACAAGGCGTCCTGAGATGAATAAAATACTCACTGTTCTCCGCACCACAGATAAATAAAGCAAAATCAGGGTTTTTTTAAAAGTCCATAAGGAATTTGAATTAACAGACTTAGTAAAGGATGCTAGCAAAAGACTTCTGAGGCAGACCCTAATTACAGGCTGCTTTGATTTTAGTGACCTTCTTTGTCTTATCTTTCTAAACATATTTAAACCAGAAAGTTTCAAATGCACAGACAGTGTAAAGACTGCTTTGGGTACAAGATTAATGAAGATCAAACTTCTGTAAGTTGATCTGTATTGTTTTAGTGTACTTCTTCCATTAATCCCCATTCCTCATAACACAAATCTGACCCCTAATCTCCATGCCCATGTGATTTCAGTGGTAGAGATGAAAGGCCAAGACTTCAGTGCTACATATAGCCTATAGAGGGAAGCCAAAGGTAGTGACAGTTGCAGTGTGTCTGCAGTTGTTAAGAAGTCTTGCAGAATTTCCACACAAGTTGATATTTCTCTCCAACCATTGCTGATGCCTCTTTAAGCCTTAATTTAGATTATGCTTTCCAGAGCGCATGAAAAAATAACAGCAGGTAGAGATACAAAACTACCCAGCCTTATGCAATTACTGCTCACAGTGATCAAGCAATCTTGGCAAGAAGCTGATGCTCAGCAAGGCAGCTGGAATACACTAAATCTCCCCCACGTTAAATATGACACAGGGAATTCTTCCAACACTTAGCAGAAACATATTGCTATATACTTTATGAAGTGAAACAAAGCAACTAAAGTCAAATGTTCCAAAATATGGTCGTGTGAAGAGTGGACTGCTTAGTCAATGTAAATTAAAATATAAATATTCATACAGTGAATATATTCATACCAGTCACAGACACTTCATCTCTCTAATTCTTATAATTTCTACTCTTCTGTCCTCACTGCCATCTAGGTTATAGACCATACAGAAAGGAAGCAAATAATCATCTGACAAGTGCTATATGTTATCTGTCAAATACAAGTGATTTTGGGGGCTGCTCTACCATAACAGACTTATCTTACACCCACTAAAAGTTATAAAGGGCCTGAATTTGAAATAAGTGTCATGATTTTTTCTTATTTTACAGCCATAATTAACATTAAAATATTCCTGCACTCATGAATGATCTGGTGCAAATCTTAGTACTTTTAGCTTTTCTGCAAATGACTGAACTGCAGCCTCAGGCAAATACTCAAATATCAGGGCCTGCAAAGATTTGCATACACAAATAAAACATGTATTCTCTCAAAAAGAAAAAAAAACTGTATTGAAAATTGTGAATATGTTCATAAGATCTATCCTGCCCTGGTTTTCTTCTTTAGCCATACTTTCATTGACTTTCCCCTCATCTTGTCTACAGGCAGTCCTAAAGGACTATTCTTGTTCCTCTTCACTTCTCCCTTTTCAGCCTCTCTTTTGAAGTATCATCTGCAAAAAATTTTGTTTACTATCACTCTGCTCATAGTTCAAAGACCACCTTTATTCCCAGATCCATCTTCTTCTATCCAAGCTGAAATTTCAGCCTTTCTCATACCTTCTCACCTCAGCTTCGAAGAGATTAAAGCATGTCTCACTGCAGAACCACATTCCTCTACCCTTATGGACTTGCCACTTGCTCTGATATCCTAAGCTTCACACTTTGTTTGCTTCTCTTCCTAGGTTTTCTCATCTAAGTGACTTAAAGGCCACATGTACACAATGTGGTGAAGGCAGTGCTTAGCTAATTCTGCTTTTCATTTTAGTAGCAGAATTCTGATCAAATTCCTTTCTCAAACCTGTATAGTCATGTTACTATGGGATGCTACTCATTTAAATTTAAGCTACATCAAAAAGTACATCCTGTAAGGCTAACTGACTGCTCCAAGTGACTGTCAGATATAAGCTGGACTAGGTGATTTGGGACCTTGTGACAAGGAAGAGACAGATTATAGCCTTCTGCATCTGGTAGTGTAAAATGCACCCTCAGAGTGGCTGCATAACACAGGTAATCTGTCACATTACATCTTTTCTTCAGCCTCTCAGCATTTCATATTTTGAATATACCGTGTTCTCTAGCATTGCCCCCTACACCTCCCTTTCACCTTTCAGAATGCTGCAGAAGCTACAGCACTCCCACCATGTCACCTCTGCCTATATGTCCCACCTGCCTATATGGCCTGCCCTTCTCTCATACATCAAACAACTGCTAACTGTCCCTTTCCAAGCCTTTCATTGCTCACTCTGTTCAAACACAAAACCTCAGCTCTCAGCCCTGCCTGAGCTGTGATGTGAACACATTGTCCAAATATGTGCCATCTCTGCTTTTTTCCAGTGCTTCCATTTTGTCACAAAGTAGCAGCCCAGGCATCAGAGGTGCCAATGGAGGTGCCAGCCATGGCAGTGGTCCTTGGCCTTCACTGTCCTTTGAGTCAGTCATATTACTACCCCTGGATGGTAGCTGCTCTTTTTCACCCCTCTTTTCCTTTCCTGGAGGCCTATATTGCTTACACAACACTAAGTTATGTGCTTATCTTCTGTGTTTCAGGCAACTAATATATAGCTATTTAATTTACCCAGGAAATTTATAAAATTGCAACCTCCCAAGATAACAAAGTCCTTATCCTAACACTTCACATAACTGTCATCCTACACATACTACAATAAATAACTCCTCTACATTTCTTCATTTGCATTAGAAGTCCTCTTCAGCCAATATTGTTAATTTTGCTTACATTTTAAAATGGAGGCTGTTCTTTCTGTACAGCTTATTCTCTATTTCATCTCCAACTCTATTCCAATCCCACTGAACATGTGAAACACAACTGGTTTTGACCATTTACCAGCTAAGGGGTAGATGGGAAGATCTTTCACAACTGCTTTCCTGTGCCACCTGAGATGTTGAGCTTCCTTCACACATCTCAGGCACGTGTCACAAACACACTGTCCTGGCCTCCTAAGTATCCTGTATTTCATCTACTTCATCCTTCGCTTCTCCTTGCTGCATCTTTCATTGTCTTCTCAAGCTTCCTCACTCTTTTGGTACTTCTTTTTCCCTTGAACCCATCTTGTTTGCCCAACAGTGCCACAAGGCAACAGGGAACACAAACAATTTATACAGTTAAACATTGATATCTGTGTCTTCCTTGTGCATCCCCAATACCATACAAACATATACATACAAGCACTGTGTCAATACCACTGTTGTTCCATAATAACAGGGCTAATTTTGTGAAGTTATAAATCACAATTCAAGCATTCATAAGATTCCTTTTATCCTTTCCACCGATCTGTGGCATGCATTGTAACATATCCACACCAGCATTTTATTTTTGTCTAGCTCCAAAGAGTATAATCTGTTGATTACAGTGGATTACCACTTCTCTGCATCCTTAATTTGATTATGGTAATCATAATGTGGTAATCAGATGTGTGATCATCTCTTCCATTAAAGAAGAGGGAAGTGCAGAATAGCAATCTACACTTGAAAAAGGGAGACAAACTTTCATTCTCTATGAATAAAACTATTAAAAAGGTAGGAATGACTTCTGACCTTTAGCCTGCGGTCCTGGTCTCCACTGCACAGAGAATTTACAGACACTTTGAAGGTCTTCCACGCTGGATTTAAGTTATTCATCACAACCTGTGAGTGAAAATAAAAAAGGGACACATTAACATTTCTACATCTCCAAAATGAATGCTAGCAAGAGCCACAATTTTCAATACAATACGTTAACCAGAAAGAGAAAGAAAGCAGAGCTCAGCTGGAGTTTTCAGAACAACATGCATGGAATATGTGTCCTTGAGCAACCCGCAGTTTGAAACACTCCTCTGGAAAGCCCCCAAAACGAGCACATGTAGGAAACAAACTCATATTTCCCTGCATATATCATGTGTAGATCATGCTGAAGAAATTGCTCCAGCACTGCCATGCCTCAGCAGGAGTGTAACTCACAAGGGACAGGTTGTAGAACTGAACTGGAAGCCATGGAAGAGATGCAGGAGTAGGCAATAGGGTTGGGCAACATCAATTTACAGGCACATGGTTTGCCTGGCTAGAAAGACTTTATGGAATCCATAACAGGCTTATAAACCCAAATACCCACCACAGCTCCATCTTGTACACATAAATGCTGCTTTTTAAGATAATGCCAGTCATTAGCATGGAAGCAGTAATGTCACTGGGACACAAGAAACAAATGTAAAGCACTCAGATTACAAATGTCTTTAGCACCAGCACCCTGGGAGGAGGTGGAGAAGATGCAACATAGCATTAGTGGGAAAATATGATACTACCTGTAGCATGGTTTTGGCTAAATATCATATGGACCTTCAAACAGAGTATCTGCCAATTTAATTAAATTTGGACCTTTGGTTTCAGTATCTTCTGCCTTTACTGTAAGATACATAAATCAAGACCTGATACCCACTAGTTAATAATTACACTAGAGTGTAACACTAGGAAGTGTTTTTAAACGTGAGTGTTTGCAATAACATTTGTGATATGGGAGGCATAAACTATTCCTCCTGACAGCCCATCTATGTCCTTGGCGAGTAAATCCAACTCTATCCCTTACCTCAGTTCTATGAACAAGTTGCTGGGTTGCATCATCATTCACGCGAAAAATCTCCAGGAAAGGATCAGATTTGCTGAAAAAATCCTAAAATAAAATATAGCACAGGTTACTCTCGAGGATTCTTTTTCTTTGAATTTTGCAGGCACAACGCACTGGTGCTTCCCTGACTGCTAACAACAAAGGAGAGCCAGCATAGTTTTACAGAGACCTCTTGGTGTCTCTCAGCAATGTTTCATTCTTGTCTTTGTCCACAAGGATTTCCGTGGCACTGTTGTTGTACCCAGTTTGACTATTTAATCATAGCATGCAGAACGGTAAAATGTCCTTTTCCCTTCTTACACCTAGTCCAGATTCCTGAGCTTTAGCTCCTTCATTCAGGTAGCTTGTTTCTTTCTGTCTCCATACCTGTTTGGTCTTTTAACATCAGTTTTATGATGTATTGAACTTTGAAGCTTATTCTACAGTGAAGTTGAATTTCATACTATTCACCCACCCTCCCAAAACATAAGTTAATTGGCCAAGACATTGTGTGCTACCAACTGTCAAGACGGATAGAGATGGTTAGAGAAGCAAGACCTCTTTAGGATGTGATAACATGGTCTGTGCTAAGACAACAAACAGAGAGGGGGAATGCAGAAAATAACTTGATATCTCTAAGTACAAGCAAATCTGTGGCAGAAAACCGAGGTTCACATTCATATACTCACTGCACTGCAGAACACCTCCCCCTAGTCTTGCATTTAGCTAACAATCCTGAACTGTCTTACACAAACCTAAATTAAGTTGCTTTCTATAGCACTGCTGCAGTTTGGCCAGAGACACTTTTGTTTCAACATCTCATTTATTCTGGACATGCTGCTTGCAGAGGCAGAAGAGTGGCTGGGTGTTAACCCTCCACAGCTGGAGGGGGAAGCTTCAAATTTCTAACTGTGCAATGCTGAAAGAGCAGGATTTAAATGGACTAAGCCTTATTTCCTGTAGTTTCAAGTCCTTTCTTCATTTTTCTCTTCAAAAGAGCACATGATTAACTTGTGCATAAGAATATCATTCTTCTGTGTAGGCCATATCCAAAACCACAGACCTCCATGTCAACTTGGGGAAATGAGAAATTCTGTTTGCTCTCCAAGTGTTTCTAGAATAGTGGTAGTGTAAAAATTATTGTAATACATACAGTTCTACAAATTTCTCATCATAAATGTCCACCACACTTATTTTTTACTGGTTGGATAGCCACTGGGATGGGAAGAGCTTTGGATTAGATGCTAGCCAAAGTCTGGGCACACCACTTTGGTCAAATTTATCTTTACGGCATTTTTACAATTCTGCAATTACAAAACAAACAAACAAATCAGGGCTTTGAAAAGAGACACCTGAATTTGAATGTCTGGAGAAAGAAGTCCCTAGGGGCCAGGAAGCCTTGGGCAAGGCTCAAACAACCTAAAGTCTTGTCATGTCCTAAAAATGACATAATGTTTTCAGAGTGCTGTTCTGTCAATGGTCTGTTCCTTTACCTCCTAAAGAAAAGTTAATGGCATGTTCAGGAACTGATGCAAAGCACGTGAATATGCATTTGTTAAATCTTATCATGCGGAGCACAAAACAACAAAGCTGTATTTTTACCTATTTATTCCAATTATATGGTAAACAGGACATTTTATTTTAAAGTATGTAAAACCAGTGCAAAAAACAACAAAGTCTGTAACTCCAGGGTTTGCCTCAAGGCCCTGATATACATTTAGTATCTGGACTCCACTCAGCACTTGAAACTGCTAGTATATACAGGATTTACTGCCAGATTAGCAGTGCATAGCAAGGAGAACAAGCAGAGAGTGAGGATGCTGGTTAAATCACAGTGACACTAAAATCTAGAGTCCATAGGGTTAAAAAAGATTGAGCTGCCTCTTCTCACACATAGGTATACTGATTGAAGCTGAGTAAAAGCCTAATATTAGCAGCTTTTTTATCAAACATGAATTTCATAAGTTATTTGAAAGAAAACACCTCAAAATGATACATCCAAAGAATGTACCCTGGAGTGCAGAAGAATTCATAAAGGAAACCAAGATTTCATATAAGACTCAAAATATAGTATCTTTCCCAGCTGAGTATCATAAAGCTGTAACAGTATCAGCACAAGGGAAGTCATTTTTAATATCTGGTTTTAACTATCAAGGTAATACCACATAAAGGGAAAGATTTTAGTGCTGGATGATGGCTTATATCATTCCCCCTTTAATGCAAAAACAAAGCCTAATTCCTTTCAGAATTAAGGTACAAATAAAAAATCCTTGTATATTGAAGAAGCTTTGTGGTAAGTAAAAAATGACAAACTGAAGAAACATTTGCTGTCATAGCTATTAAAATTATAAAAGCTTTTTGATTATTATGCTGCATCTAACAGCTTTGCATTATCTCAAAAGAATATCCTCTGAAATGAGAATAGCAGCAATATAATGTTGTGCTATTTTAATAATATATAAATGATTAATATAATTCATTTGCTAGTGGTATAATGCACATTGTCCTACCAGTATGTGCAGCAGTCACACAGTAATAACACATGTACATAGCTTAACCTTTAAAATTTTATCTACCTCTGTTTCTAAGCACCTAGTTTGATACATCTTTTAGAGATTAATTTTCAGAGCATGACATTTTTTAGAATTCCTTAGGGGATCCTTTAGAATCCCTTGGGGATTAAGGCAACAGTCCCTCAAAAAGGGGCTGAAATAGCCAAAAGACTAAAATTTTGAAAATTCTTCAGCAGCAAGACAGGGCATTTGAGGATTTTTTTGAGAGAGTAGTTTAATACTGGGGAACTATATAAAAAAAGCAATATTAGCTTGTATTTTGCAGACATTTGCTGGGGAATCATTCCCAAACAATAACTGTCTCTCATAGACTAGGAAAAGCAGTTTGCCTGCCTCAGTGCTCATAATTTATTATAGCTATCATAAAAAACATAGCTGCTTGTTATGGTAATTGTGACACAGCTATTAATGCAATAGAACCTTCCCAAAAGTTATTGTTTCACTGTGAAGTGTTCTCAGTGGAACTCTCGAAACAAAGATGTGCCATCTGAGCTGACAGGGCTTCAGTAAAACATGAAAATGCAGTAATACCTTCCAAACAAGCACTGCAATAAAAAATATAACCTTTATCTCTGCAAAGTCAGTTAACTAAAGGAAAGTTTCATACCTGTCACTTTCCAATAATTTTTCACTGAACGTTTTAGCCACCTCTCCAGGAAAAAAAGGGCAGGCTTTACTTGCAGTTTTAAGAGGAGAGAGTAAAAGACCCTCAACAAACATATCCTGCCTGTTAAATTATACCAACGAATTTTGTTAAATCTTAAAAAAACCAACAACTGTTGTTCACATATTTTTTCCTTAGTGGAGGAAATGTATACATTTAAGGACCACAATCTAGATCCTCTTTCAAGGAGCTCTCCTGTAAAGGATGAAGGAAAGAAATTCCTGTCCATTCAATATACCACTGATGGTGACGGACAGAAAGAATTTATTTTTTTTTTGTCCTGAAAGCACATACAGGAAATCTCCCCAACCCTTCCTTTATCCACAAGTTGTAAGACGTTAGGATTCTACTTGTCTTCTGCCACTCCCATAGCTACCAGTACAGGAACCCCACGGCTTACAAAAGTGACCTTGTACCACAGCATGAATGACTTCCAGAGGCTTCCTCTGTCATTCGGGAGAATTCAAAGCCATTTCCAGCCCTCAGGCTGTTTCTCTGACATTACATCTCTACTCCAGTGTTCACTTCTATGAGTATGGAGAAGCATGCAAAACCGTGCTTAGTATTTTATAAAATGGGCTTTTCTCAATTCTTTGATTTTTGTTTTGGTTTGGGATTTTTTTACCTTTATGTGACATCGGAGCACTCATTCTTTTTCAACACTGGCTGAACTATGCAATTTAAGCAATTTCAAACCTTAATAACAATAATTACTAATAGTGCCTTGCATCTACTGATTTCAAAGTTCATCATAAGCCATACCAAAAGCTTTCTTATAGAAGAGGTGAGCCAATGTTCAGCCAGGTTTAGAGGTACATCTCTAGCTGGAGCAAATTGAAGACTTTCAACTGCAATAGGCTTCCAGTGATTTTCATCAGCTGAAGACAAGAGTTCTGATTCAGATAATACACAGTGTGTCATTGCTTGAGCTGTACACTGCAACATCCAGGAACTGCTATTGGATGAATCCCATCTTTACTGGACATGTTAAAATTGCAAGAACAACAATATTGATCCTTCTCAACTTATCCCCACAAGGTGTTTTAACCACTCCCTAAAGCTGTTGCTCAAACAACACTGACCCAGCTCAGAACTGCATTCTGGCAGTATACTTTCAATTTATAACAAGACGACCCATAAGCAATCATAATATTTACAGCAGATTACATTTTACATTTGTGGAAAAGCAATGGCCAAGTGGAGTCTTATGTTGTATATCTCCTCTCCTTTTTTTAGATGTGACAGCATGTGGAACAGTAAGAAACTTAGAAACTTGAGCACAAGTTTGGAAATCATCTCTAAAGATGCCTGTCTAAAGAGCGGTTGTTAAATCTACATTTCGACACCTAAGTAAACCATGCAGTTCAAACCCAGTAAGACTCCAGTAAGTCTGAAAGAAGAAGGTAATTCTTCTTTCAGATGAGAAGCAAAATCAGGTCCTGATCATTTATGATTGCTAATGATCCTGAACACAGTAAAGTTATTTACCTGTATGTTCTAAATAAAATTCAGTACTATCAATCTTTCTGTGTACCTTCTGCTTGCCTGAGATTTTCCAGTACTATAAACCAAAAATATTTTTCATAAGTTACAACTTCATCTTGAAAACCTGATTTATGTATCCAAAAGTAGTTTCACTGATTTGATTTTAAGGTACTTACATGTCAAATGTTTACAAGAACACACTTGGAGCATCACAATCCTAAACCTTTGTACAGTGTTACCATATGCTTATAATTAGAGGCACCTTCATATATAAGAAGGGACTACATACCTCAAATAATTGTATGTCTGCTATTACACTGAAATAACAGAGCGTAGCTTACAAGCAGTCATCTGGATTTCTCGGGCTGTAAGTTGCTCGAGATGCTTATTATTAATAAATTGCTAAACAACAAAAGAAATTTTCAAAAAGAGGTACTCATTATAATCCTGAGTCATGTTTGAGTCAGTGGAGAGTTTTATTAGTAAAGAGGGAAAAAATTTTTAATAGATATGCAAGAATCTATTTTTCATATTCAAGCTACATTTTGGTGAACAAAATGTTTATCATGACACTGCTGTTATGAAGTCTTCTAGCTTTATTTTAGAACACTTCAATGATATCATCTTAGACTACTTACAGAAAGTTCACTTCTCTAAGCACTTCTGATCTGTGGCATTTTACATAATTAAATTGTCTTGGTTGTAGTGTAATTAACTTGTCTTGGTTTTAATTAGATTCCCTTGAGTTTGTTTTTTTTTTAATTACTTTGCAACTTGAGGAAAGCCTCACTGTGAACATTCATCTGAAAACCCTGATGTGTTTAATAACATAAGGCCAAGAATATCTGTCTGGGAAAATCTCATCAAATCATATTTGCAGGCATTCTTATTTCTTTTGGTAAGGTTAATATCAAGCAGCTTACCTTGTCATCCAATTTCCGTGCACTGAATGAAAGTTCAACGTAGTCATCATTGCCAGACAATTCCTCAGCGATCACCTAAATGGAAAGCTACATTTGAGCTTTGCATGGTGTAATGAAAGGGGAGAATGATGCCATTTTTCAGCGTGAAGACTGCAGACCCCATTTAGGAAACTGAAGTGTGGTACAAGTTAATATGATTCTCTTTGTCATCAGGAAGGGCTGAGGGCATTCAGCGAATCCCACCCTCAGCTGACGGATGTTAAGCCCACAAACCTGAATCACTTTGTGTCCTGCAACTATGCCTTGTCAATCACCTGTCAATGGAGAGACACGAACATCTATCAGGGATCCCTTGTCTCTGACCAAGTACTTCTCAGATTGGACAATGGAGAATTCCACAGTCTCACAGTGTCCAAGGGGACAAAAATGCTATACAAGACTTGTATTATATGGGTCTAAAGCCCACTTATTTGTATGCTGCTTCAGCATCATTTAGCAAGCTAAATGGGAAAAGGAGCGAAGTCACTTGTCCTTAGTTGCCATGAAAGCCACATGTACAGTAGGAGAGTTCTGGTATAGTTTTTCTGCAATAACTACATTGGCAAAACCATTTACTGTAGAGTGAGTCAGAATAAAGTAATACTAAAATATTATAGTGTGATTCTTTCAGATGGTGTAAGCTATGCTGACAATGATGTCAGCCACTGTGCTGTGCAACATTAAAAACCAAACCAAAGCAAAACATAACCAACCAAACCAGCCTTCCTGAGTAAGACATTAAAATGCTTCAGGGGAGAGAATGTATTAAGCAAACCTGGGATACTTCACTGAAAAATGTTCTTTGAAACAGACCACATTATATTCTATTTGACAGCTATAAAACCTTTTCCCTATTGTGAATATTCTCCCCAGAGATTAAATATCCCACAAAAACAATTTTCTGGGTGTTTCATGTCCATGGCCACACACCTGTCAGCCATGTCAGGTCCCCAGCCAGGCTCTGACTGTCTCCACTGCAAGGACTCAAGGTCCTCAGAGAACCACAGGGACACCCCAACTATTCTTCAAACCAGCTGGGCAGCTGGCAGCAGCTATTAACTGCACCCCAAAACAGAGGGTTTTGGGGTCCCAAATATGGGGTCCCCATCAGAGATGCACATATTTCAGGAAGGGCAGCAGCTGCCAGAAGCAAGAGACACAAAGGAAGGAGAGGTAGGAGGTGTCAGAGGCCACTCTAAAGAAGACCCATGAGGAGACATGGAGAACAGGACGCTGTTGGGAACACAGCTGGAGATTCAGTCTCGGAAGGATGAGCTCCATTCTGGAGGAGGCACCTCTGAGAGCAGACTCCCACAGGTAAGCCTACACTGGAGCAGACGTCCTCGAAGGGACTGTGGCCTGTGTGTAAGCTCAGAGCAGAGCTGAGAAAATGAGTGAAAAACAAAGAGCAGCAAAAAAAAAAAAAAAAATCACTGTTTTTTGATCCTGACCTGCGCCACCTGTCACCTCACCAAAGGGACTGAGCACAACGTGCAACGAAGGCAAAGGGAATTGAGACTATGAGGAGGCAGGAGAGGTGTCTGAAGTTGATCACAAGGAAGGGGAAGGAAAGGTATTTTCCCTAAGAGGGTTTTTTTTTTTTTCTTATTTGTTTCTCAGTACTCGAATCAGTAGAAGCTTATGCTGATTGGCAAAAAATTAAATTAAGTAAAATTCCCTGAGTTGAGACTATTCTGGATGGGACACCTCACAGCAGTGAGCTGTGGTGCTTCTCCGTGCAAAATATTTACATGCAGCCTCTTCCAGGCAAACTTGAGCTTGATGGAAATTTGGCCCGTAGAGATTGACACATTTCTGTTCCATGTAGTCTGGTGGTTTAAAAGATATGGTTAAGCTGTATAGGACCAACAGTGCTGTGGGATTTGTACGCCAAGTTTCACGAATACTTTTAACTGAAAATAATGAACCTGCTCTTATGAAGTTTGACATACTTCTAACTGCAGAAGCTGAACTGTGTTGTTTTGCACCCATAGCCATATTATAAAATTGTGTGGATGAGACATTACACAGTCAAAGGGCTAATAAAATTTCAGTAAAATATGCCAAGACAGGACCTTTCAAAATCCTATGAAAAACTCACAATTCAGTACACTGAACAAGTTAGGAAATTAGTATGTGTAACTTCCATGCTTGACAGTATGTCCCCAGGTCAAGAAATAATGATAAATAATCTGGTTTTACTTATTCTGTTGAGACACCAAAGTTTTCACACAATATTTTTTGTCTGTGTTCAGTTTCTCCCATTTGAGTGAAGTCAACTTGCTCTTTAGTACTGCTGGTGAGAAGCCAAGGTCCAATATTTCATGGTTATCATCCAGTGTTAGGCCAGCAGGGACTATTTTCTCTCATCTTCTGTTTATTACAGTGATTTAATTTTTGCCAGAACACTCCACTAAGAAGCCTAATGATTTAGTTGTACTAGAGCATTTGTGTTTTCACAAGACTAAACTTCTTTGTGTTCCTTAAAGCACAGGAGCAGAGTCCAGAGCACCACAGGGATGGAGGAGATTAAGTATGCCCAGATACGACTCAGCAGCCAAACCACACCAAGTTATTTAGGGAGCAAAACTCTCTCCTGGTTCTATTCAGCCAGAGGAGTGGGGAATTCCTTTCCAGCCTCAGATCAAAAATGAGTTTACTGTATGCATTTAAGCAAATTCATTTGCAGCCAAGGAAGATATCTAAGAAATAAAACCTCCTGAGCTCTCTGAAAGCATTATTTCTCACAGTCTTCTGTCTCTTCTGTGGTCCAGGGTAGAAAAAAAAATCCAAGCAATCAAGCCAAAGGAAACCCATCTGGCTTATTGCACATCAAGGCAACAGAGCAGAAATCCCCAAAGTAGAATATTTTATTATAGCTTTTGTCTTAATGCAGAGCTGCAAATGTCACAAGCATGCAAGGTTCAGTGCAGACAAGATTGATCTCCCAAACAAGCTAGCACAGAGAAGGATGAAATAGAGGTAATAAACTGATTTGCAGATTTCAAGATACACATAGAGGTATAACAATACAGCCCATAATTGCATTACCACACAGCTAAAACTAGTCTCATCAAACTTTGGAAGTTGCTGGGTGCATATGTGTACTTTCTAAGTTTGGGGGTTTTTTTTATTTTTTCCCACCCTTTTTTTCCTAAGAACCTTGTCAAAATCCAAGGGAAAATAAACATTAAGCTCCTTCATGTGTCAAAGCAGGTCAAATGAATTTCTGAATGTTCTAGTTCTTCAACTACAAGTATTCAAGCGGCACAAGTTTCTTGCTGCCATCCAAGTACCTTAAAAGTGGTAGTAGTAGTAGTAGTAGTAAATATTGTGGCTTTTGTACAAATCATACATTATTTGTTGCCATTTCCTTGCATCAAACAAACATTTAGCAGAAACAGTACCAGTAATCAAATGAACAGCTGAAATACATTTCTCAATCAAGGGCTGTTCTGGTGACTTAGCAGGATGCTTTTAGGGAAGAATTAGTCACATTAGATGTTTCTAAATAACAGGAAAACAACAGTGTATTTAAGATTGACTTACTGTTATAGATGACTTTCCTGCTGTGTTGCCATGTTTGAGTAAGGACTTGGAGAGTTTCCTCTGAGAAACAATCTGCACAAAAATAAAAACAAAGGGGAAAATAATTAGAATCTGTAGTAAATACATGCTTCATTGTGATTTCATTTTTTGCTTTTGTATCGAGTGCGTTTCTCAATTCACAATCAGTTAGCACAGTAAGACCATGATCGAGAAGAAAAGTTCCCAGGAAGCTGCAGACAGGATGCAGTGGAAGATAAAAACAAACGGTTGGGATCAAGCAGAATGAGGAGGACACAATTCATGGAGCTGAACAGAACAGTAAAAACATATTATCGATTTTCCTTGAGTATTCCAATGATGGTAACAGAGCACAGAAGTAAGGTTTAAACATACTTAAAAGACAATAAGAAGGGAGAATCTACAGAGATACCTCCAAACTAACTTATTTTTATAGGAAACTGAAATCTGTTTACAAAGAGAAGGCATTTATTTTATTTCAAAATATCAACAACTCTAAATTCAGGACAGAAGCAAGCAATCTGCCCCACAGTTTTAGTTCCAAAACTGTCTTCTTTGCTTACCAGGTACCAGACCTCCCATAGAACTCAGCATTAGGAATGAACTTGTTCATTAACAAAATTATAAATGAACTTCAAATAAATATTATCAGAGTGATACTGACAAAAGGTGTTATTTGCCATATCAGTAATAACTATAATTCCCTTATAATTTTGAAACATTTAAAACTAGATAAATAAAAATATAATAGCATAATTGCTAGGCTACAGTGATGTTCCAGCATATTAAGTTCCTCTTCTTTGTAAAATTAATGCTGTATTAATTTATTTATTTTTAATTGGAAAACTTCAAAATGTAGACAGATGTTAAAGTAGCTCAAAACACAGTTTAGAAATCATAATATTATTTTTAATGTGACAAAACTGTAGTAGGATTGTGCTGTGCAGATACTGAGAAAAGATTGCTGTGTCCTAGGAGAAACCCTAGTCTCTTGAAAGTTGTTTTTATGCTAGAAATAGTCCTTTCCACATCCAACATTACCTGAACAACTTCATAGGATAAACATGTTTGGCAAAATATGCCTGGCCATCATACACATTTCAGCAATAAAGCACATCAGTAGGTAATGGCCAGAGCTGGAGGAGTGTGAGTAATTCAAAGTTGCAGCCAGCCAAAAAAAGGGCTGTGAGACAGGAGTGAATAGGATGATTTTAGCCTGACGTCACCACATGGAAACATGTTTGTCCTGCCCATCAGTTTGCTGAATTGAACAAAAAAGCAAAGACAGCACCTCAGATTACCCTCAGCTACTATTATGATGGAAGTAGCAAGACAGAAGTAAGTTTTAAACAGGCTTTAAATATGAGACAGGAGAACCATCACAGGCCTGGACAGAACATCCAGAATCACTGTGTCCAGCTTCTCATTTCTACTGCAGCTATACCTGGCAGATGTGTGTCTAATCAGAGGCAGAGGGAAATACCCTCTTCTGGGAATTTATTACTCTATTCATTATCCTTACTGTAAATATATTTTCCTAACAGCTAATCCAATTCTCTGCAGTTTAAGTGCATTATTTCCACCTAACACACCATGAATAAGCAAAATAATCTTTTTCCCTTTGTATTTCAGGCAATCTTTATATCTGAAGACTCTCCATAGTCTTCTTTACTACAGAACCTGAGTTTGTCCTATCTTTCCTTTTTGACCAAACTTTGTAGCCCTCAAACCATTCTCTCTATTCTCTGATGAGCCTTCATGGACTGGCCCATAGACACTCTTACAATAATGCTCAAAATTGTGCATAATAGCCATGGTCCTTCCTATGCAAGAAAAGCTTCTCATTTCAAGGCTGACGCACTTCAGAACTGCATTTGACTTACTTAAAGAACACTATGATACTGTTAAATAATGATTATTTTTTGACCATTTTGCATTGCCAGCTGTTTCTTACCCTGCATTTTTACACCTGGCTATTACTTAAGTGAATAATTTAACACTCCTTTTTGGATTGTCTTTCATAAAGCAGTTTGCTGCCATCATCTCACTCAGTTTTCCAAATTAACTTTTGGATTTCAACACTAGTGTTGATCAGTGGTACCAACAGACAGAAGTACAAGTAAGATCACAAGTACTGCTAGGATTCAGAAGTCCTTTTTCTTCCCTAGCACCTTGGAAATAGTGTTTGCTGTGACCACTTAAGTTGCCCATACATAAGTTGTACATTCAAGTACAAATCATTGCACTCCGGTGAACAGTAAGGTGGAATTTAAAAAACTTTGTTTGAGATTCTCAGATGGCAGATAATACAGAAATATGACAGATTATTTTTAATATATTATTAAACTATGGGTTGTGTACCAACTAGACAATGAATTATGGCAGCTGGGGAGCAGAGCCCATTCATCTCTATGATCTCTCCTCCTTTCCCCAGATGCACAGACAACTTTGTAAGATACATGAAGTTTTTCCACTGAAAGCTGTGGGTATTTCTACCAGAAGCTTTTTCAGATATCCTATATATATATATAGCCATGGCATGAGATAGAACTTGGATGGGAACCTGCCCTTCAGCTAACCTCCTTTAGAGATAGCAGGACTTTCCCGCCCCTAAACTACCCAAATTTTTACAGCTCCCTTTGCAGCTTTCAAAAGGGTCACAGCTTTGAAGAGACAGAGGCTGAAGCTCAGGAGTTCCTATGCAGGTGGCAGATAGATGGCTTGCAGTTCCAGAGAAGATAATTTATTCTGACATTCTCATTAGTAGACCGCATTAATAACACACACTCTCTAAGCCATTAGCATCACTGTGACACAGTAAGCACTCTGCACATGTAAATATGTGTATTTGGGTGCAATCATTTACCAGTTGTTAATTAAGTGGCCAGTAAAATGAATCCTCCATCTGGCAACAATGTGCCAACATTGTTGCCTCAAACTGTCATTGCAAAAACTGACAAGGAAGCAGTAGCAGTAGCAGTAAATTGCTGTTTTTGTTCATGCACTGTACAGACCAGGTCTCCTTGTTAAAAGAACCATTTCTATGGAAGCCATCAATTATCTATCATATTATTTGTTAATGTATCAATGTAAAACTTCTTCTGAACATTGTCACAAAAAGCATTTTCTGACCTGATTGGCAGAGAGCAAGTACTAAACAACGATAACTTGAGGGCTAGGAAGCAATAATCTAAGTTCAGAGTTACAGTGATGGCTGAACTGGCAAGATGTCTTACAAGAATTTAATTTACTACAGGTCTTTCATTTGTCAGGAGTCTTTGTGACTCCGATTTCAAAAACTCGCAAATTAAAACTTCAGCTTCAGGGAAAAAAGGGTTTTGTCCAAAAGTGATGTGTAGAAGTTCTTTCTAAAACACAAATGGTAGAATCCAGTTCAGCCCTAGTAAACCTCATTAAATTTCCAGAACATGCATTTTCATGAACATTTTATTAGAAACATGACCAATCAGTGAACAAATGGATGTAGAAACCTGTCCTAGTTGAGGATGGAATAGTTACTTTTCTTCTTAGTATCTGGTATAGCACTGTGTTTTGGATTCAGTATGAGAATAATGTTGATAAAAACCCGATGTTTTGGTTGTTGCTAAGTAGTGCTTACCCTAAATCAAGGAATTTTCAGTTTGCCACGCTTTGCCACTGAGGAGAAGCACAAAAAACCAGGAGGGAGGCTAGCCAGGTCAGCTGACTTGAACTTGCCACAATGATATTTCATACCATAGAACACCTTGTATACAGAGTATGATACTTCATACCATAGAACATTTCCCTATATAAACTGGGAAGAGTTGGCTGAGAGCTGTCAATCACTGCTAAGAAATGGGATGGGCATCAGTCAGCAGGTGGTGGGCAATTGTATTATGCATCTCCTGTTTCTCTTGGGTTTTATTTTTCTCTTTCTCTCCTTTTAATTACATCTAATATTATCGTAATAATATCTTATTTTTTTTAATTATTAAACTTTTCTTATCTTAATCCATAATGTTTACCTTTTTTTTCTGATTCTCTTCCCCACTGGGGCAGGGACAGGGCAAGGTGGGTGTGAGCAAGTGGCTGCATGCTGTTTAGTTGACAGCTGGGGTTAAACCACAGCAGTCCTTTTTGGTGCTCAGTGTGGGGCTCTTAAAATAAGGCCTCAGAGATTTCAGAGGTGAGACTAAGAGAAGTGAAGTTTATTTGCAGCTACAGACACATATAAACTACTACCCAGTTCTGGTCTAAGAGTGCCACATGTCCAATAAAACATATCATACTGAATATGTTTGCAAGGTGTGGAAATAGAACAGAATGTAAAAGCCGCTGCTCTGTTTCTGAGAAGAAGGATGTGCACATTAAGTTATTCCTATTTACCAAATATGCAATCATTGCAACAGAACATCATCTTGATTAGTTTTCTGATCTGTGTTGCTAGGGCTGTCAGATCTGTGGTAAGATGGGGGTGGGAAATTCCCTTAAAGATCATCTTAATTTGCCTTATTACAGGCAAGCCTATATAGGTTAAGGACAGGTCTGGACAGATGCTCAATGTTGCTGTAATGAAATCTGTATTCACATCACCATTTGATCTTATTTCCAATTTAGAATATACAAAAGATGCTTTGCTTTTTTAATTATTTTTTTAAAAGTATAAACAGATGCAAGGCTCTCGATAAAAGTACCAAGGTGCTGACACCAGCTGTGTACCATGCACTGCTCAGCAGTGACTCAGAGACAAGGACTCTGATGAAGGTTTGCTCTCTCCTATGCCTGAGTCGTGACTAATCAGCACTGTGTAAGATGAGCTGTGAAATGTAATGACCCATTTTACCTGGCTTGTTTAAGAAACTTTTAAAATATATTTCTCTATGTGGTCCTTTCTTAACCAAATACAGGGATGAGTTTCAGTAATATCATACAGAATTCCCAATGTTCATAAATCAAGCTAACAAGAAGATTTCAATATAGCTTTTTAACCAAATTATTTGAAAAGCATTGATTCGGTTTTGCAAGGTGACAGAGGTCAAGTGTCTCAAATTCTTTACTGGGACTGGCCTCTT